CACGGGGCGTTGCAGGGTACGAATTTGTGAAGAGAACACCATCATGATAACTGGCTGAGAGGGTGAGAGGGAATGAGAGGTAGAGAGGGTATGAGAGGGAGAGGGTGTTAGAGGGTGACAGTGCGACAACATGTGGGAGAGGGGAAGAGGTGTGAGAGGGAGAATGTGATGAGAGTGTAAGAACCTATGGGAGAGGGTGGTGAGAGTGCAACAGGATGTGGGGAGAGTGTGAGAGTGAAATAATCTCATCATACCAGAGAGAGAGGGCTATAGGGAGAGGCAGTGAGGAAGTAAGGTGTGAAGGAAAAACTAATGACAAGGGGAGAGTATGGTCAGCTGACGGGATATTAAAGACTGATGGGGAGAGAAGAGAGGATGGAAGAGTGAATGAGTCGGGAGAGAAGAGGTGAATGTGGGGGAGATGAGGAGAGGATTGGAAGAGCCATAACCATGATGGGAGAGAGAAGGGAAGGGGGGGGGTGATGAATACGATGTAAACCGGGCCAATTAGTCTTAATCTCCCCTGACTAATCTCCCCAAAGATAAACAAACTAACTATTCACCAATCAAAGTCCCCTACACAGTGACACCTCATCACCCACCCCACACCTTAGATACAGGTGAGTTACGTCTGTCTACCTATGCATGGGAGCAGAAATAACTACATGTCAAATCAGTGTCATATTTAACCCATCTTCAATAAGGTAAGTATGGGAGTGTGTTGTAACTGCTTGTTGATATGAATGAACTATAACTAAATAAGGTGATGTTATAACTATCCATCTTGAGTCGGAAATAACATGGTGGTGCTAGAAATGAAATGTTTTATATATATACAGGTAACAGCGTCGACAGGTGAGGAGAGACTGAGACCTTCATTAGGTATGTAAATATTTAGTGTTAGTTAATGCTATTGTGTGATATTTGTTTAAAGGTAAACCTAATTACCTGGACTAATTATCACCTAACCGGTAAACATGATTATTTTCATTAGTTTTACTGATTAAATTTTCGTTAATAACAACAGTAAATTGGTCGGTGTTGAAGGTTATTAGATGGTAACGGAAGCCAAGAGCCTAAGGAGGCGACTTACTGCTAATTAACCTGGATTTTATTTATAAACTCCGTGTATTCATTACCTAATCTCTCTTTTGTAATGGAGTTTCCCAACAAGTCTGAAGCCTGAATATTACATCAACTTCAGTATCGATTAAGATATCATAACACAAGAAAAAAACAAAAACAGAATTACACGAAGTTCAGTTACGTATCGATTAAAAACAACACCGAGAATCTTAGCACCACACCACAACCACAGCCCCATGACCTACCGTGACCAGAGTCTTAGCACCACACCACAACCACAGTCCCATGACCTACTGTGACCAGAGTCTTAGCACCACACCACAACCACAGTCCCATGACCTACTGTAACCAGAGTCTTAGCACCACACCACAACCACAGTCCCATGACCTACTGTAACCAGAGTCTTAGCACCACACCACAACCACAGTCCCATGACCTACTGTGACCAGAGTCTTAGCACCACACCACAACCACAGTCCCATGACCTACTGTGACCAGAGTCTTATCACCACACCACAACCACAGTCCCATGACCTACTGTGACCAGAGAGTCAGCATCACACCACAACCACAGCCCCATGACCCCAGAGTCTTAGCTCCACACCACAATCACACAACCACAGTCCCATGACCTACTGTGACCAGAGTCTTAGCATCCACACCACAACCACAGTCCCATGACCTACTGTGACCAGAGTCTTAGCACCACACCACAACCACAGTCCCATGACCTACTGTACCAGAGTCTTAGCACCACACCACAACCACAGTCCCATGACCTACTGTAACCAGAGACACCCCCCCCCACTTGTGTCTGGTGTGACTATATTCGGGAAAGACAAAATCTCTCTCCCCCTCACTAGCTTCCTCGTTCAATTCCCTCTAACTGCCTTACAAGATGTGTTCCTTAACAAGGTCCTAAGACGTATACAGCTGGTCTACACCCCTGCAACACTCTACCGTCTCAGATATTCATTTACCTTTATTCTTATTCGTTAACTTCTACCTCATCCATCATGTGGCGAGTATGAATCAGTTTCTCATTTATAAGTCTTTTAATAGTAACTTTCTCCATCGTTCTTACTTGCAACTAACACATACACTTACTTCCTTATTCCTTGTGTGTTTGTTTGCTTGTTTCTGTGTATGTTTGTTTGTTGTTTGTTTCGTGACCTCATCTACCACTTATAAAAATATAAATAAATATATACAAGCATATATAAATTCTCACTTCCAGGGTCACTGTACACACACACACATACACATACACACACACACATACATACATACATACATACATACATACATACACACATACATACATACATACATACACACATACATACACACACACATACACACATACATACATACATACATACATACATACATACATACATACATACAAGTGCACGTGCAGGCGTTCATATATAAAGCCTCTTACCCACCTCCTCCTTCAGAGAGCACACGGGTCAGGGCCGAGCAGTGCAGAGGCCAAGACATTCTTTTTATCTGACATTTTAAGGCACTAGGTATTAAAATAAATCAGCCTATACAGTAAGATATATCATTATAGTAATCCCTCTAAATGCCGGACTCCTCAATAGCGGATATTCTCAATACCGGAATTCTCGCAATAATGAACAGGGCTTGCAAGAATCAGTCTGGTATTGAGAGAGTTAACTATCTCAACATTTATAAATCAACAATCATCGTATGAGCTAAATATTTGTAATTAAATGTGTAAATATTGACGCCAAAAGGACAAAATTCTGTCTAACCGGCTCGACATTTCACCAGCAATTATCCAAACAATATCATCATAGCTTTTGTTAACTCATAGGATAAACCAACTCGTAATATTGCATTTGATAATAACTTGACCAGTATTTACTTTGCATACTGCGTGAACAAGTTGGTGACAAAGAGGAGTATTTTCAGTCACTCTCTACCTCTCTCTTGTTACAGTTCCCCCTTCCTTTCAACCATCATTGAGGCATTTTCACCCCTTCATCCACCACAAACACAGGTAGGGAGAGAATGACGATAAAAGTGGACACACACACACACACACACACACACACACACACACACACACACACACACACACACACACACACACACACACACACACACACACACAAATGAGGGGTCGTGAAGGAGAGTGAAGTCTATGAGTCTACCAATACAAGTAGACAGAGGCCAGATAAGTGATATATATTCCTGTGATAGCTAAGGAGGTAAAGGTGGTATTAAAAGGAAATACTCACCAGAAGGGAATGAGACTAGTGAGTTGAAACCTACCAACACAGTTATTCAATAAAAGGAGAACCGGCGGGGGAAGGGGAGAAGGAATAGAGGGAGAGAATAATAAAAAATCTGAGAGGAAGTGAAGGGAGGGTAAGGGAGAGGTAGAGAAAGGGAGTGTGAGTGTGTGTGTGTGTGTGTGTGTGTGTGTGTGTGTGTGTGTGTGTGTGTGTGAGTGTGTGTGTGTGTGTGTGTGTAAACCTAAGCAAGAATAGGTTAGAATAGTGGTACACAAAACGAATTGAACACAGTAAGATGGCAAAGAGCGATCAGTACACGATATTATGAACAAGTAACCAATCAGGACACGATATTATGAACAAGTAACCAATCAGTACACGATATCATGAAGAAGCAACCAATCAGTACACGCTATATATAAACAAGTACTAATGAGTAATGTAGCAAGAAAGAAGACCAAGAATTGAAGAAGAAAGAAGACATCAGCTACGGCCGAAATAGCTTAAAGGCTAAGTGGCCAGTAATCCCCAAACAAGTCAGTTCAAGCCAAAGCCTCACTTTTCCCAAATTACGGAGGTGGGCAGAAGTAACCTGAGGAAGGTATGCGCTAGAACCTGTACCCGGGCTTCATAACAGCCGCTCGGAGACCAATATCCCGCCTCTTAGTTCTGCAGGAGACTTACTTTACAGGTATATAACATCGTGAGTCTTCATTCCCACTGATGCTCCCGTTCGTACACCTTGCTTTAAATTTCCAGGTATCTTTATTCTCTTGTTAGTTTACTTCTTCCCAGTTAATTTTCGTAGAGGAGAGAGGAAGAGGGAAATCATATAGAGTAGCACAATTTTTATATGCAGTGCTGAGAGAGAGAGAGACTGACTTACTTACTTCCCACACAATTTCTATTCAAGAGATTCACGTCACGGAAACACTAATGACCAATAAGAACCATTCACTGCCATTCAACCCTTCATAAAACGCTAAGTCTTTCTGCTATTCGCTTCTGGGATTTTGTGTCAGCTGATGTGATGATGCGAGAACCAATAAGGGGTGGAAGGGAGGGAGAGGGGAGGAGGGGGTTGGGGTAAGGGAGGAGGAAAGGGTAGGGGATGAGGGGAGGGAGGAGGAGAGGGAAGGAAGGAGGTGGAAGTAAGGGGGAGAGGGGAGAGAAGTGGGGTTGGAAAGGAGAGGGAAGGAGAGGGCATGGGGGAGAGTGGGGGGGACTTCTCCTGGCTAACGATGGGTAATGGCTCGCTACCCATTACACAAACCTCGTCACTGATTGGTTATAGTGGATCAAGGCTCATCACTGATTGGTCAGGTGTAATATATACCTCTTTCGGGATTGGTTGTGTCTCGGTACGACAACATCACTACAATTTACCTCACGAAGAAAATAAATGTAACTCGCACACCTTGATGACTTACCTGGACACCTCGATGCCTTAGCTGGACACCTTGATAAATTACCTGAGATATATAACAAACTCAGGTTAATCTGTTTCAGGTGAACAGTTTAGTGAGAGGATTGTGGGACGCGGTGAGTTACCACCATGTCCTACACAGGTAAACACTACCATGTCCTACACAGGTAAACACTACCATGTCCTACACAGGTAAACACCACCATGTCCTACAACTTACCTTTAAGATCAGAGACACAGCATTAACGACACACATCTGAAACAAAAAGTGAAATAAGACTTAGAGTTGAGTGAATAATTATAATGAGAAAATAATAATTGCTAGCAAATTTATCAGTCTCCAGTAACACCAATAAGTCTCGTTATATCATCAAGTACTTGTCTCTCCATACTCTTTTGTTCCGTCTGTCAGCACTACAAATTCCACACAGTCTCATGTAATCTTCATATAACGATAACATGGGTTTAAGGTTTTGTTAGTAGTGTAATGAGATGTAATTAGAACAAGAGCCGGAGCTACAGGTACACACGACCAAAACAAGAGCCAGAGCTACAGGTACACACAATCCCAACAAGAGCCGGAGCTACAGGTACACACGACCAAAACAAGAGCCAGAGCCACAGGTACACACTATCCCAGAGCCACAGGTATACACGATCCCAGAGCCACAGGTATACACGATCCCAAAGAGGACTCCGTTTTCCAATTAAAGGGCGAGAAAGGAGAGAGAGGGGCGACACAATGCTCCATCCACTAATCCATTTAACGTATCTGTAATGATGAATACTGCTCTAGTGACTCCCTATTGTCTGTCTGTCTGTCTGTCTCAGCAGTTGAGGGATTATTAATTACTGAGGTGTTCCTTATGTCACCTTTCTCACCTGGGAGGAGTAGCCAGGAGGAGGGGGAGTTGGAGGAGTAGCCTGGAGTAGTAGCCAGGAGGAAGGGAGTTGAAGAAGTAGCCGCGAGGAGGGGGAGTTGGAGGAGTAGCCACGAGGAAAGGAAGTTGGAGGAGTAGCCGCGAGGAGGAGGGGTAGTTAGAGGAGGAGCTGGAAGAGTAGCCGCGAGGAGGAGGGGGAGCTGGAGGAGTAGCCTGGAGCAGTAGCCAGGAGGAGGGGGAGCTGGAGGAGTAGCCTGGAGCAGTAGCCAGGAGGAGGGGGAATTGGAGGAGTAGCCAGGAAGAGGGAGAGTTGGTAGTAGGCAGCTACCAAACAGGGAGGTACTACCGCCAGGGAAGATATTGGCAGCATAATGTGTTGTCTAATGGTAGACCCTGCTGCCATATGTGACCAAGTCCCAGGTTGCTGATCTGACTTTCTGCCTCATTTACACACAATTGTAGAGTCTCAATTGTTTCTCTTACGACTGACAACACAACTTACATATATTGTTTCTCACTTTATATTTCTTTTTATTTTTTGTATTTCTTTACGGTTCTCTACTATTATTATTATTATTATTATTATTATTATTATTATTATTATTATTATTGTCCTCCAGGCCCCGATGTGGGTCAATGACCTGTGCCCGGTTGGGCTAATATATATATATATATATATATATATATATATATATATATATATATATATGTATATATATATATATATATATATATATATATTGATAAAATCACACAGGATAATGGGAAAAACGGAGCACCTTAACCGTCTTTTATTCAAGACGTTTTCCACGTTTTCATTGTGGATTTACATGAAATATATATATATATATATATATATATATATATATATATATATATATATATATATATATATATATATATATATATATATATATAAGCTGTTTTGTGTCTCAGTGCTAATGATCTGTACACATTGGATCAATTTACCTGCTATAAATCAAATTGTGATAAGTGACTCGTGCACAGGTGTAAGATGGGCGGCACACAGGTGAAACAGGTGTAATTATTACCTTTACAGATGTGATTTAGTTATGCCACACACACACACACACCCACACTCACACACTCAAAGTCTGTATATTTTCAGCCACAGGCTGCAACTCTAATATTAAACCGTTTATTATTATTATCACACACACACACACACACACACACACACACACACACACACACACACACACACACACACACACACACACACACACATTTATGTAGCGCACTGAACATAAAAAAATGCATTAAAGGTTTTACTATTCGTTACTCAGAGACACATCAACGCTTCAATCATCACTCCACTTACATATTTGTAAACGCAACGTGAAGAATTAAAGTGTTACACGCAACACGGTCCATAAGGGTCACTATTACTATTTCTTCCAGTGATAAACAGATACTGAGTCGCCACAAACAGAATATGACTGTCTGATAAACTGTTAAGGACGACGTATCCAAAGTAGAGCTGTTTGTTGTGGTTTTCGTGTATCAAGGCGGAGTTTATATCCCAATGATCTTAAGTCCTCCATGAATGTGTGGGAGATATGGTGTGTGAAGAAATTACTTTTGATGTTCACTCAAGTGCGAAATTTAGGTGACAGTGACCGACATAAGTGTTGGATGTGAAAGGTGTGTTGGGAGAGGGAGAGGTAGCAGGCTGGTCAACTGCTGCTAAAACACAAAACAAGTCTGCCTGTTGCACATTATTGCCGCCAGAATCAAAGGTCATCTGCTATTCATGGAGTGTGATTCGAGTAATAACTCACTTTAATGACTCTAGTTTCAGTTTTGGTGAGAATGCAAATCAACATTCACAACTGTACTGTATATTTGGCAGCTGTGATTGTTTCTCTCTGGGACTCAAACCAAGTGATCATTTTTTTTAATCTGGCAAACATAAATGACGGATTCTAGCCTCATTAGATATATTTTCTTCTTTGCAATACATGATCTAACGCAATTTGTCTAAGTGAAATTGGATCCCATGGGCCTGACGGATATTTAGAGGCAACTTGGATACAGCGTACTGTACACAGAGGCAGCGTGGCCGGCACTACATCTAACTGCACATCGTGACCTGGTAGTTCAGTGTAGCACGAGGGTAGTACAGTGTTTAAAGGTACAGTGTAATAAGAGAATGGTACAGTGTAGTGTGAGGGTACAGTGTAACATGAGGGTAGTAAAGTGTTTGAAGATACAGTGAAATAGGAGAATGATACAGTGTAACACTAGGGTACAGTGTAGCATGAGGGTACACCACTAACCATTAAATCAACTCCCCTCAGTAAGTATAATTGGGTTTTGAGTAAAATCTTTGTTGTGTTGCATAAAACTTCCATTCGGAGTGATTTATGATGTTATTAACTCTATTAACAATATTACCTGCTTTGATTAATTACAGGTGTACCACGCCATCAATACCTGACCCACCACCACCACCACCACCAGTACTGACCCACCATCACCAGTACTGACCCACCACCACCATCACTAAGCCATTCCAGTTAAAGCTCACTTGTTCTTCAGTTCTGTGTAGAGGAAAGTTATACGAAGTTATACAAAGTGATACAGAGTTATAAAAAGTTGTGAACCGTCTTAGAAGTGTAATAAACAATGTTTGTTACCGCAGGAAGACAAAGGTATGTTTGTTGCATCTCTGACACGAGGCTATGGTGACGCTCAGCCGCTGGGAGAGAGAGGCACTACAGGTAACAGAATTGCATTTTCCGAAACCAAATATTTCCCTGTGAAGTGTTGAAGGATATGTTTATTGGGTACGGTGGGAGAGCCATGGGATGAATTTGAGTGAGTGTTTCGTATGCATGTTAAGGAGTTGCAGATAGTGGTCTCGTCCAATCAGGTGCTGGAGATCAGAAACAATGGAAATGTGAAACAGCAGCTTCCGGCGAATGGTAATGTAGTGATGATTCTAATCTTTTGTTGTGAGAGTTTGGTGGATGTCATGGTACGGCACGGCGCGGCACGGTACAGCACGGCATGGCACGGCACAGCACGGTACTATACTGTACGGCACGGCAAGGCACGACAAGGCACTGTACGGCACGGCACGGCAAGACACTGTACGGCAAGGCACGACAAGGTACTGTGCCGCCCGGTACGACAAGTCGCTGTACGGCACGGCACGACAAGGGACTGTACGGCACGGCACGGCAAGGCACGATACGGTACGACTTCTTCGCTATCATGATGCCAACTTCCCATATTCCCCTGACTTGCCTCATGGCCTCCAGGTTGACGGGGAACACTGTGGTAAGTCACCCAGAAGCTCAACACACGACTAACGAGATGAATTGACCTGTATGCCATAAAGCTCCTGGAAACTAAACTTGTCGAAACACTGCAGAGGACATACACGGAATAACCAATATTCGTAAACCAATATTCGTAGTTACGTCATGTGTTATACAGACCAAGTGGACGATTGCATAAAAAGATTTAAGCCTGGGATTAACACGAGTCAAAGTGAGATTAATGATGACGAGATAACAGGTTTGGGTAGCAATTGTTTATCAGCAACAAATGTTATTACATGACTGGTATTGTTGTTATATACGGGTTGTCTGTTTCTTCGCTTATTTTCATACAACGTGATGCCAAAGTACAGATAATTTACAACACTCGTCTATTGTAAATCATTTAGTCTCTGGCTGCCACTAACTAGTTTCCTTAATCCCATACATGTAGCTTACAACATTCCATCATTAAATATCGGTAATAAATAACAATACAGTGAAACCTTTATTTAACGGACTATATGGAGAGGAAAGTTCGTTATATCGAGGTTTGTTATATGTGAAACATCCATACAACAGACTATAATAGGAGAGTACAAGCCATTATATAGAGGTCCATTCAATGTGAACCCTCCATATAACGGACTATACCTGTTAGATTTATGTTCGTTAAATGGAGGTTTTAATGTATGAACAATTATTTCAACTATTGTAAATGAAGTCCAAGTAAATACATGTTTAGTGGAGAGGCAAACTGACGTGGACTGCACCATTAAGTCAAACATCTTGGCGTAAAAAGATGGTCCCTTTCCTGTCGTAACTGACTCACTTTTGCATGTCATCTGTACGCCGACTCCCTCCCGGGCATAGGTAAAGGTCACGCTCCTTTTGCCAAATATCCAGGAAAGAGTTTGTAAGGTATATATTTATCAACGGGTCTTTTTAGTACGGTCATGAAATTGGAAAAATTGTCAAGTTGAAGTCAGAGCTTGTCAGGTTTTTATCAAATGGTCAAAATGTTAAGTAATGTAACATGCAGGAGAGATGACAGTTATACCACATCTGCAGGATAACTTGGCCTATCA